GAGAACTTGCCCCCACGGCAGGGCGCTGGGGCAGGGCGCTGGTCACAGCACTGCCACCTGCCTGCAGAAGGACAAGGGTGCCATCAGACAGTAACATGACCAACACCCATCTCACCGCCCCTTGCTCCACCCCAGTGGTCACCCCAGCTGCCACCCCCAGCCTCAGCATTCCCACCCTCCCCATGGAAGAACATGGGGCTCTGAGATTGCCCCGGGTCATCATGTCCTTGCCCTGACTGGCCACCAAGCCCCAGAAATGCAACAAGGCTGGCTCTGCACCCCCAGGGATGCCCTGGAAGAAGCCCAGAAGCCTGACAGCCCCATGCAGCCCCATGCCAGTGCTGGGTCTGACTGCAGGCCAGACCCCCAGCATCTCCCACAGCTCAGAAGCCGTCCTGGAGCAGCACGGGTGGGCAGCAGAGGGAGGCATCCTGGTTGCATTTGCAGTGGTTACCACCTGCACAGACACTCCCTGGGCAAAACCACCCACCCCTGCTGACTGCTGCACCATGGGTGTCCTGCCCACCAGTTCAAAAGCCCCTTGTCAAAGAAACAAGAGGCCTCTCAACTACTGGTCCCAGCCCCGGCCACTGCAGAGCCACAGGGAACAGCCATGGGCAGAGTCCCCACTGGGGACGGAAACACAGCCCCAAGTGAAGGCTGCTTGAATAAACAGGAACCTGTAAAATCACATCCCTCCTGAACACTGATAAGTGTCTAATTTTAGCCGGGTCGACACAGAAACTCCTGACGCTGCCAGTGACCTCCAGGAACAGTCGCTCTTTCATTCCGGCATCCCACGCCGGAGGGGGAGCGCCCAGCCGGCGGCAAAACCACGGCCTAGCAGAAACCCCAGCACCCCTTGGGAAACCCCACATGCACCCACAGCTCAGGGGCACCCACAAGTGAGGCTGCTATGCAACCTGTCTGCCCCCAGGGCAGCCAGTGCCCACCAGCCCCAACACCCCGACTCCCATCAAGTGCTTGGGCTGCAGATAAACAACTCCAAACCGGAGCAGTGAGCTGGCAGCGCCGCGCGGGATGGGCTGACAACTATATATAACGGGGCAGGAAGCCACGCAGGAACTTAACCTCGGCACAAAGGACAACAGGAAAACTCCCCATGTTTGAAGCATCTGCTTTAAAGCTTTCCGACGGGTGCGGGGACGAGGTTTGTGCAACCCCTGCAGACAGATGGCGTTGCCCATGCTGGCAGTGTGGGCTCTGCAGGGTGTGTGGATGCCATGCTGTGCCCTGCCAAGCTGCACCTTGGCTCCAGCCCAGCATCAGTGCTGCATCACCACCATGGCCTGAGCCATCTCTCTGCAAGGAAAGGTGGTCCCCACGGCCCCTAAACGCACCCAGAGGGACACGGGAAACCTGGCCTCCCCTTGGTAAAGCCACACAGGTCAAGGGATGGCACGGGACTGCCTGAACCCTGCTGCCCCTCAGGGCTGGGGTGGGGGCACACGTGCCCAGGAGAGGCCTGGCTGCAGGGCAAGTGAGGGCAGGACTCTGCAAGCCACCACACGGTGCCGGCCCTGGATGTGCAGTACAGCCGAGGCAGCAGGGGAAAGCAGTTGGAGGGACAAGGCTGGGCACAAAGCCCGACCAGGTGGCTACGTTTGCTGGATCCGAGCCTCCTGTCAATGGCCAGAGGGGCTGCCAAGGCTCTGACCACAGTCGTCACTGCTCTGCCCTCCCATGCAGCACCCAGGGCATCACCTAGACCCACATCCAGGATCTGGGCTGGGCAGGACCCCAAAACACATGAAAACAAGGCAGCTCCTTTCTCCTCCCAGAAATGCCAGTTGAGGTGTGATGGCTGACCTGAGCCTGGGGATGGCACAGCTCCTTCCTCTGACCTGCAGCAGGTGCTGCTGGCACAGAGCCCCATGACTATGCCATCACAGGAGCTGCTCTCCGCCAGCTCCTCCACAGTGGTGCTGGGGTCTCAGCACGGACAGTGGCAAGGAGGAAACCACCTGCACCCACCTCTGCCCCCACACCACAACACATGCCACCAGTAGCCCCAGCTGCCTGGGCATCCCCGAAGCAGTGCTGCTGGGGAGATGCAGCTTTCTGCATCCCCAGGAGCACCCCATGCTCACCCCATTGCAGGGAGGAGGCTCCTGGGACACCTTCTCAGGTCCGGGACCCTCTGGAGCAGAGCTGCTCGCCAGGCAGGTGCTGGTTGGAGCAGGGAGGCAGGCAGCCAGCCTGCTCTTTGTCCTTGGTGGTTTCTCTCCCCCGCACACATGCTGCCTCCCGGCCTTTGTAAGCTCAACAAAAAGGGGGAACAAGCGTTACCAGCTGCATCACTAATCAGGCAGTGCCGGCAGCCAGCAGCCTGGCTGTGTGTGCCCCACACAAGGCCACCAGGAGCTTCATGGGCTGGGGTGAAGATCCCAGCATCCCTGCAGCACTGGTGCCCCTGGCCGATCTGGGATGCAGTTGTGGTTTGCCCCCTTTTCCCGAGGAGGTTCCCACCACTGGGGGACACACACCGGGGATGCCGGATGGGCGCAGCTCCACACTGCGAGCAGGAGGCGGCTGCTGTGTGTCTCCCTGCTCCCAAACCAGACCCAACGCGCCCTCCCTGACTCAGCTCCGGGATTACCCATCGCCAGGCATGTTCAGGACAGTGCATGAGCCATGACAAGGAGGGAGAGGCTCCTGTGGGCACCAGCTGTGTCGGGGGATCGCACGCAAGGACACTGCCATGACACCTGGGCTGGCAAGGGACAGCAGATGTCACCCTGCAAGTGCCAGTTGGCAGAAAGGGAGACCCAGCTCGAGGCTCTCAAACCCAAAAGCCCTCCCTAAGCCCCAAAAGCAGGAGCTGAGGGGTGAGATGCAACCACCCCCTGAACTCCCTGTCGCAGCCATGAGCCGCCATGTCCCTGCCAGGGCGCCAGGGAGTTTCAGGCAGGGAGGAAGGCGTTCACTGAAACTCTGGGCCACTCCTTCCCTCCCTGAGACGCAATCTCGTCCGACACGCTCCCTGCGCAGGGACCTGCAGCGCAAGTTTCCCGGTCACCTGCCCTCCCTGCTCTGCTCCCCGGCTGTGCTGCCAGCAGTAGGGCCGCGCTCACCCATCACTTCAGCACAGGAGCTGGTGGCCAACACCTCCTTGGACACGCCATGCTGGGGCACCCCAAACCCCAGCTGTGCCCTTCACACCCGGCTGTGCCCGGTTGGGCAGGGACAACGCCATGCCAGGGAGTGGGTTCTGGCAGCAGCAATGCCCTGCAACCAGCCTGGCTCTCACTTGGAGCAGAAGGGTCTGACCTGTGTGATGGTTCCTCGCCTCCTTGCTGGACACAAGTTTTCCGCAGAACAAGGAAATTTAGGGGGTTTCCAAATCCCTCTGCACTGCCTGCTCTTACAGACAACGCTGGGATGCGTCAGGAGGAAAACAATCCTGGATTTACCCGAGTCACAGCCGGGATGTGACGCCAGGCTGTCTCCAAAGCGGGATTTCAGGTCCTCCTGCTGCAGGAACCCCGTGTCCAGCAGCAAAGGACCTGGCTTTGATGTGTCACCATGGGCTGGTGGCAGAAGCCAAGAGGGTGTGCAGGGTGCGTGCACGGGGTGCAGGCACTCAGCACAACCCAGCATCTGCCTCACCCCAAAGCTGGGTAATAAAACAACCCGAGAGTCCTTACAAAACAGAGGTGGTGGGGCAGCGATCCCTGCCAGACTCTGCTGGGTGGGAGTGAAAGCAGGAGA